TCAGAGCTCTGGTCACATAGATGTGGTCTTTCCATTGCTGTGAAGAGACATTTAATAAGTGGTTGTGTGGTCAAATTATACATACATTCAATAATGAACTAACAACTTAGCAAAATAAGAACTTTTGCTTCCCTTTTATTTATTAATCATTTTATTTGTTTACATTTCAAATGTTTATCCCTTCCCAGTCTCCCCTCCATGAACCCCCTACTCCATCGCCTTCCCCTTTGACTCTAAGGGGATGCTCCCTCACCCACCCACCCACTCCTGCCTCACCACTCTAGCATCCCCCTTCTCTGGGGCATCAAGCCTCCACAGGACCAAGTGCCTCCTCTCCCACTGATGCCAAATAAGGTAGTCCTCTGCTACATATGTAGAGGGAGCAGTGGACTGGCCCATGTATTCTCTTTGGTTGGTGGTTTAATCCCTGGGAGTTCTGAGGGGTCCACTTAGTTGATATTGGTGTTCTTCCTACAGGATAGCAATCCCCTTCAGCTCCTTCAGTCCTTCCCCTAAATCTTTCATTGGTATCCTCAGGCTCAGTCCAATAGTTGGCTGTGAGTGCTTGTATCAGCCTTAGTCAGATGCTGGCAGAGCCTCTCAGAAGACAGCCATACCAGGCTCCTGTCTGCAAGCACTTCTTGGCATCAGCAATAGTGTAAGGGTTTGGTGCCTGGATGGGATGGATCACACAGTGGTGCTGTCACTGGATGGCCTTTCCTTCAGCCTCTGATCCATTTTTGTCTGTGCATTTACTTTAGACAGGAACAATTATGCATTAAAAATATTAAGATGAGTGGGTGGTACCTTCCCTTCACTGGGGACCATTTCTATCTACTGGAGACTGTCTCTTCTGATTCTATCTCCCTGCTGTTGGGTATTTCCCTAATGTCATCCCTATTGGGTCCTGAGAACCTTTCTCATCCATGGGGTCTGGGACTCTCTAGTGGTTCCCCAGGTTCCCTAATCCCCACTTCTACTTATTTCTATTCATTCTCCTACCTCTCTGGACTTCTCTCCTGTCTCTTCCTATACATGGTCCTGTCCCTCCCCCAATTTTCTTCTCCTCTCTTGCCCAACTCAGGGCCCTCCCTCCCTCTGCCACTGTGATTATTTTATTCCCCCTTCTAAGCTGTTTTGAAGCATCCAAACAACTTGAAGTTTGGCCTTGTTTCTTAACAAGTTTCTTCTTGTTAAGATTCATATGGTCTATGAGTTCTATCATGAGAATTCTGAGCTTTTTGGCTAATATCCACTTATCAATGAGTGCATACCATGTATGTCCTTTTGAGTCTGGGTAGCCTCACTCAGGATGATATTTTTCTACTTCTATCCATTTGCCTACAAACTTCATGAAGTCATCATTTTTAATAGCTGAGTAGTACTTCATTGTGTAAATGTACCACATTTTCTGTATCCATTCTTCTGTTGAGGGACATCTGGGTTGTTTCCAGCTTCTGACTATTATAAATAAGGCTGCTATGAACATAGAGGAGGATGTACACTTGTTATATGTTGGAGCATCTTTTGGGTATATGCCCAGGAGTGGTATAGCTAGGTCTTCGGGTACAGTTATTTCCAATTTTCTGAGGAACCACCAGGTTGATTTCCAAAGTTATTGTACCAGCTTGCAATCCCACCAGCAATGGGGGAATTCTTTCTCCAAATTCTTGCCAACATGTGCTGTCACCTGAATTTTTTACCTAAGTTAGCTATTCTGATTGGTGTAAGGTAAAATCTCAAGGTTGTTTTGATTTGCTTTTTCCTGATGACTAAGGATGTTGAACATATCTTTAGGTGCTTCTCAGCCACTTGAGATTCCTCAGATAAAAAAATTTAGCTCTGTAATCCATTTTTAATAGGGTAATTCAGTTCTCTGGAGTCTAAATTCTTGAGTTCTTTGTATAATGTATATTAGCCCTCTTTCAGATGTAAGGTTGGTAAAGATCTTTTCCCAATCTGTAGGTTGCCGTATTGTCCTATTGACAGTGTGCTTTGCCTTACAGAAGCGTTTCAATTCTATGAGGTCCTATTTGTCAATTGTTGATCTTAAAGCCTGAGCCATTGATGTTCTGTTCAGGAAAATTTCCCCTGTGACAATGTGTTCAAGTCTCTTTTCCACTTTTTTTTTTTAATTATTAGATTAATCGTATCTGGTTTTGTACAGATCCTTGATCCACTTGTACTTGAACTTGGTAAATTGTACAGATAATTGTATTATGGGGATTGTAAAGCATCTGTAGATTGCTTTTGGTAAGATGGCCATTTTTACTATGCTAATTCTACCAATCCATGAGCATGGGACATCTTTTCATCTTCTGCGATCTTCTTCAATTTCTTTCTTCAGAGACGAAGTTCTTGTCATATAGATCTTTCACTTACTTCATTAGAGTCTCACCAAGATACTTTATATTATTTGTGACTATTGTGTAGAGTATTGTTTCCTTATTTTTTTCTCAGTTTATCCTTTGTGTTGAGAAATGCTACTTATTTGATTGAGTTTATTTTATATCTAGCCACTTTGCTTAAGTTGTTTGTCAGGTTTAGGAGTTCTCTGGTAGAATTTTTGGAGTCACTTAAGTATACTATCACATCATCTGCTAATAGTGATATTTTGACCTCTTCCTTTCCAATTCGTATCCCTTTGATCTCCTTTTGTTGTGTAATTGCTCTAGCTAGAACTTCAAGTACTATATTGAATAAATAGGGAGAGAGTGGACAGCCTTGTCTGGTCCCTGACTTTAGTAGGATTGCTTCAAGTTTCTCTCCATTTAATTTGATGTTGGCTGTTGGTTTGCTGTATATTGCTTTTATTATATTCATGCACAGGCCTTGAATTCCTGCTCTTTCTTTAACACGAAGAGTGTTGTATTTTGTCAAAGGCTTTTTCAGCATCTAATGAAAAGATTTTTTTTTAGTTTGTTTATATAGTGGATTAGGTTAATGGATTTCCTCATATTTATACATCCCTGCATCCTTGGGATAAAGTCTACTTGACCATAGTGAATGATCATTTTAACGTATGCTTAGATTCGGTTTCCAAGAATTTTATTGAGTATTTTGCATCATATTTGTAAGCAAAGTTTGTCTGGAGTTCTTTTTCTTTGTTAGGTCTTTGTGTGAATTAAGTATCAGCATAACTGTGTTTTCATAGAATGAATTAGGTAGTATTCCTTCTGTTTCTATTTTGTGTAATATGAGTACTTCTATTTTGAGAATTATTGGTATTAGGTCTTCTTTGAAGGTCTGGTAGAATTCTGCACTAAAATCATCTGGCTCTGGGCTGTTTTTGATGGGGAGGTTTTTAGTGACTACTTCCAATTCCTTAGGAAACGTTCATACAGTTTACCTAATCGTTATTTAACTTTGGTAGGTGGTATCTGTCTAGAGAAGCATCCATTTCATCTAGATTTTCTAGTTTTCTTGAGCATAGGTCTTTGTAGTAAGTTCTGAGGATTTTTTGAATTTCCTCAGTCTCTGTTGTTATATCTCCCTTTTCATTTCTGATTTTGTTAATTTAGATACTGTCTCTGGGCCCTTTAGTTTGGCTAAGGACTTATCGAGCTTGTTAATTTTCTGAAAAAAAAAAAACTACCTCTTAGTGTTGTTGCTTCTTTGTATTGATGTCTTTGTTTCTAATTGTTTGATTTCAGCTCTGAGTTTTAGTATTTCCTGCAGTCTACTCATCTTTGATATGTTTGCTTCTTTTTGTTCTAGCATTTTCAGATGTGCTGTTAAGCTGCTAGTGTAGGATCTCTCCAATCTCTTTATGAAGGTACTCAGTGCTATGATTTTTTTTCTCTTAGCACTGCTTTCATTGTGTTCTATAAGTTTGGATATGCTATTCCTTCATTTAAATTAAATTCTAGAAAGTCTTTAATTTCTCTCTTTCTTTCATCCCTGATCAAGTTATCATTGAGTAGAGACTTATTCCGTTTCCATGAGTATGTGAATTTTTTGTTGTTTTTGTTGTTATTGAAGACCAGCCTTAGTCCATGGTGATCTGACAGAGAACCATCACAACTTTTCACTAAATGAATATACTTTAAAATGACTATTCTCAATAACAAGTACTATGTATCTGATAAATGATTTTTTAAAAAAAATGTTGAAAGTCCATTAAGAGTCTAAAACTATAAAGACTTAAATCCTAAGGATGTCAAGTATGATTTAAGATACATAAAGATGAGGAATATTTCATATTTCTTTCCCTTTACGTGCTATTATTTCCCTGAAATTTTTGAGGTTAGGGATTTGATGGAGCACTGATTGCTTATTACTCAATCAAAAGCTCAGGATTTTAAGCTTTTATTGGTTGCCTTCTAAATATAACTTAAAGATGGTTTTCATCAGGCTAAAACATTCCTGTCCATCTACATACCTACCTCTATGAACAAACATTTTTCTATGACTCAACATAAAGCCATAGTCTTTGTTCCTGAGTCCTTGAATGTTGGCTACTTCACTTACCTGATTTGAATAACAACATTTTTGCTGCTTCATGAGCCCACTGGTTATATTCTCTCCTCTTCTTTGTGAAACACAATAGACACTGCATACCACTTTACTGTGAATGGCTTGATGTCTTGAGAATAGATAATTACTTCTAAATTCTCCTGTATTTACCGATTCTTCACGTGAAATGTACGTCATGTGCTCATGCATAATTTCTCTGATTTTCCTGTGTACATTTTTACCCTACTTTATTATGTACTGTGCTGCTTCAGTGACGTGAGTTGTGTTAGTTGGTGATTATCTGCATATGAATGTATGTCTCCATCTATTTTAAAAGAGTATTTTTCTTGGTGCAGCCATATTTTTGATGGTGCTTTTCTGTCCAGGCTTTGAATGTCATTCCATGCTCTCCTGGCTTTGGTGTCATTAACCAATCACCTGGTAGAGTTCTGTTGCTTTCATGGGCCTTTTCATGTGTTTGATGTTGTGCTTTAACAGCATTCATTATATTTTACTTTTTCTTTTTTGATTCCTTTCTATGAAAGGGCAAGAAGGCAGCTATTCATCCTCACTGAAAGACAAACTCAAAGAAGAGAAACAGTGGGAAATGCCTGATTCTCCGGGAAATAAGTCCCAGGTCAGTGGTCGGTCATGTCCACTATTTATCTGGAAATGTTATGTTTTAAGACAATGAAAGCATTTAATTTTCTCCTTCTGAAAATTCTTTCACTTGATTATATATTTTAAAAAAGTTCAAACAAACAACAAAAAAAATCACATACTGAAATTAAACACCCTAGAGACTAAACAACTCAATGAACTTTCTACAGTTACAATAGTCATTGGGAACAGAAGCTCTAAAGCCTCAGAAGTATTTTGATGTTTTCACTATTAAATATATCTTTATGAACTGTTCCACAACTGTCAAAGGGTTTTACTGTTGGGAACAGACAGCAGAGATTTAGTCCATTATCCTCAAGGCGGCAGCATGGCAGTGTCTGGTCAGGCATGGTCCAGGCAGAAGTGAGAGTCCCACATCTTCACCTGAAGGCTGCTAGCAGATTATTGGCTCCCAGGCAGCTTAAAGGATCTTAAAGCCCACACCCACAGTGACACACCTACTCCAACAGGGCCACACCTTCTAATAGTAACACTCCCTGGGCCAGGCATATACAAACCATGACAATTAACACCCCCAAAAAATTTGTAACTGAGTTAGAACTAAAAAAATCAATTAGCAATTATGAAAATGTTCTTTTTATAAATGGTGTTCATTACCTGCATTCAGATCTAATTCAACCCCTGATTTTTAACCTTTCTTATTCTCTTTTCTCCATGTTCTACTGTGCCCACATGTACTCTATTTCCACTTACATATATTACTGGCTAGATTCTGCATATGAGTAGGAAATGTGGTTTCTTCTTTCAGAAATTTTATATTCATGTCATTCCATCTGTTGATATTGGGGGTTGGTTCATGTGCTGTTGGTGTTCTTTTTACTCAGTAAGTTCTCACCCATCCATACCCTGAAGGGTATTTACTACATTCTCTAAATTTTTATTTATTTGATTGTTAATGTAGTATTTGATCAATATTAACCTTATATACAGGTACAGAATTTAAAACCACATTTGCTCAAGATGAATTTTCCTTCTGAGCCATGTGCACTGTGATCCTGTGGGAAGGACATAAACAAAACATCCATACAAGATAGAAAAACTGTATCCAGACGTTTAATCTATGTCCTGTTTCATGGACATGCTTGTGAGACTATTGTGTCATCCTGTTTTCACAGAGTTAGAACATTTATTAGGGAGTGTAACTATGTTAGAAATCAACTTTTTGAATTATTGTCTCTGCTCATCTAAATCCCTAATTTCCTTATGTCTCCTTGTTTCCAGAAAAAACACTGTCCCTGGAATCACAAGGCAAAACTGTACCTTTTTCTGTTTAAGGGTCTGTTGACATTCTGGGATGTGGCTGTGGACTTCTCCCAGGAAGAATGGGAATGCCTGGACTCTGCTCAGAGGGCTTTGTATATGGATGTGATGTTGGAGAATTATAACAACCTGGTCTCTGTGGGTAAGAACATTTGGTTGTAGAATTGCTAACTGATTCCTGTATGTGCTGACTGAATGTGTTGTAAACTCTGTTAAGCTGTCTTAGAAACAATAGAAGACTAAAGAAAGTTTGGTAGTAGAAAAGGACTTTTTCATCATACTTGGCATTTTTCTTTCCACTTTTCATTTACAGGTGTCATGCACCCTTCATTTAGGTTCCAAGATGCATTCAGAAATTCAGTAGCTTGTAATATTGTCACACATCATTTTATTTCATTTTTTCTTTTATTGAAATGAGTCCTTTTATCATACAATGTATCCTGACTATACTTCCCCCTCTCTTTACCCTTCTCAGTTCCTATTTAAACGATTCTAATCTCAAGAGACCTAGAGCCTTGCATATCTGGCAAAATACTTGCTTTCAATCCATTCCTTCTGAAGACCTAATGTGGTATGGTTTCTTCTTTTGTTTCATTTTGTTTTGTTTTAAATAATTTATTTCTTTTTTTTATCAAATCATAATTCATTCACACAGGGGTTATAAACACAGAAAGGCAGGATGTGGGGAAGGGGATGACACTGGAGTGTGGCTGTTCAGAGGGAATACAGATGTCTTTCAGAACCGGGTATTGGCTGGGTGAAGGTTCAGGGGATAGGTCACTATGACTCTGCCTATGACTCACTTGTCCTTATCTAAGTTGGTATTGTCTGCCAAGGATACCTATTTACAAGGTCTATGACTACTCAAGCTTGTAAATTTCCACAAAAGCTACCTGTTTACAATAGTTTATAGCCATCTGTTTCAATGATTTTCCACTGAGACCCAAGACTTGGTGTTAGTATACATGTATGACAGGCCTATTGCTGATTTTAGGCCTATGGCTGATTTTAGGCCTTCGGTGTGTAAGCAGGGCTGCCTCTGACATCTCCTCCCTTCTCTAAGTATAGAAGGGCTGTAGCAATTCTAATCTTGCAAAGGCAGGGATAGAGGCCTGACCGCCAGTAATTGAAGGGGACCTTTTAATGGCTCCAGTCCCCCTGTCATTGTCCAGTGAGGCATGAGGGCCATACCCATCCCGATGTCTTTTTCCTGGAGAGGGGATACTTTTGACATCAACCCTATGCAGTCAGGCTTGTCCTTCAGGGAACCCAGGGAGATATTTTCATCTTTTATTTATATTCCCTTGCAGTGCTTAGCCTCGAAGCCTAAGCAAGAATTTAGATCACCAGTCAGAGGGGGTTCTGGGTGGCCCCTCTCTGCTTGGTCTAGGGGCAGAAGTCCCCCCTTTTAGGTTGGTTGGAGATGGGTTTTGGGAACACCCTGTATAAAGTAACAACCTCATCTTGAGTCTCGTGGTCCTCTATAGCTAACTTATGATAATGTATCTGAATAGGTTTTGCTACCAAATTATTTATCTGTTGTTTCACAGAGTTAGTCAGCCTATTTGAGGCCCAGGGACCAGCAGAAATAAGCAAAAAGAACCCAAATAATGGTCCCAAGATGGGAGGAAGTAGGGTTGACAACCTTGGAGAGGCTGAAAACCAATTCTTGTACCAGCATTCATCTGTCCCTTTCTCTCTGTGATTTTTCTCAGGGCCTTCACTGACCTATTTCATGCTCTCTTTAACCCTCCTTGTCTTGTCTATGCAAAGGCAACCTTCTTCTTTGAGGGCTGTACACAGTCAAGAGCTGTATACAGCCTTTTCTATTGTAATAGAGTAAATCAAGTCCAATAAGGATCTTTGCGATTTTAGGAAGTCTCTTCAGACAGTGAAATGAGGGATTTCTTCAGATTAGTGATGTCAATCTCTAGCTGTTTGATGTTCTTGTCAGTGGTCCTTCAAAGGTCTGAGTAGTATAAGTTCAGAGGCTAGCATTTGGATTAGAACTTCTAACAGCAGACATCACGGGTGATTCATTTTTACCTGGGATGCTGCCTGAGTTAAAGCTCCTGGGAGGCCCTCTTTCTCTCGGTTTTCTGAGGTTGGGAACAGAGCTGCCACCTGAGACCTGCTCTATGCTCGGGCCCAGACCAGAAGTCTCATTTGTTTTTTGAAAAAAAAAAGTTATACTCTTTCCTGCTTTGAGGTAAGCTTTCATCTTCTGTCTTCTGAACAGTACTCTATTCTCATTACTAAGTACAAATGTTGTGAACATGATATTGGATAAGAACCTTCATCATCATTATCTGAGAAAAACATTTAAACATAGGGACATTTTTTCCATATATAATCAGTTAGTGAGCTCCATCCCAAAGCTAGTTACTAATTCCTCAATTATACACTTCATTTTCCTTGAAGCATGTCAATGGTTTTGTGAGACTACATTTAATTATAGTTAAAGGGTAGTCTACTGTGAGTTTTATTCTGAATAATTTCTGTTCAGAATTGACTTAAGAGGAATCATAGGCAGACAGTCATTTATTAAATGGGATAAGCCCAATTAATCTGAATTGTATTTATTTTCAGAGAACTACTGCACACTTGATACTGTCCATAAACATGTAAAGGCTGAAAATGAATCTTGTCAATGTAATGTTCTTGGTGAGATGCTTCATGAACCCTCCAACTGTGTATTTTATAAAACAAGTAAAACTACAGAAAACTCTTATAACTACAGATGCTACAATGACAAAGATGCCTCTAACGCATCAAACACAGGTAGACATATAATCATGCACACTAGAGAAGAACCTTACAAATTTGAAGACTGTGAGAAGTCTTTAAATTTGTTGTCCAACCTTATTCAAGATCAGAGAATCTACACTGCAAAGAAAAAACAGAAAGAAGAAGAATATGATGACATTTTTGGTTCGCCATACAGTCTTTTGAAACAAACAGTCTATGTTGTAGAGAAACCAAGACAGTGTGGGGAATGTGGGAAATGCTTCAGAACTGCCTCAAGCCTCACTGTACACCAAAGAATTCATACTGAAAAGAAAAACTACAAGTGCAACCTTTGTGACAAATCTTTTAACCAACACACACATCTTAAAATACATCAAAGACTTCATACTGGAGAGAAACCTTACAGATGTATGGAATGTGGCAAATCCTTTACTGTGAAGTCAACTCTCACAAAACATCAGCAAATTCATACTGGACAGAAACCCTATAAGTGTAACACTTGTGAAAAATCCTTTACCCAGTGTTCAAGTCTTAAAACACATCAAAGACTTCATACTGGGGAAAAGCCTTACAAATGCAAAGAATGTGGAAAGTCATTTCCTCAGCTATCAGCCCTTAAAAGCCATCAGAAAATGCATACTGACAAAAGACATTCTGGAGAAAAGCTTTACAAATGCAATGAATGTGACAGAACATGTAAACACTATTCATCATTTAGAAGGCACCAGAAGATTCACTCTCTAGAGAAGTTACACAAATGCAAAGAATGTGGTAAGTTCTTTCTTGAATTATCACATCTTAAAACACATTCCAGAATCCATACTGGTGAGAAGCCTTACAAATGTGAGTCATGTAACAAATCCTTTACAACAAATTCAACTCTTAGAACACATCAAAAAATTCATACTGGAGAGAAACCTTACAAATGTATAGAATGTGACAAAGCCTTTACCCAAGATTCACATCTTAGAAGACATCACAGAGTTCATACTGGAGAGAAACCTTATGAATGCAACGAATGTGATAAATCTTTTTCTAAGTGCTCAACTCTTAGAGAACATGAGAAAATTCATTCCGGAGAGAAAATTTATAAATGCAAAGACTGTGACAAATCCTTTACCCAGTATTCAAATCTGAGAAAACATTGGAGAGTTCATAATGAAGTAAGACATCACTTCTGTAAGGAATGTGGCAAATCCTTTACTAGGGGCTCATATCTTAGAATACATCAGAAAATTCATACTGGAGAGAAACCTTACAAATGCAAAGACTGTGGAAAATGCTTTATTCAACTTTCAAATCTTAGAACACATTACAGAGTACATACTAAAAAGAGTACCTTGCATTTGTAAGAAATGGAAGGAATGTGGTGAATCTTTTACTAAGTAAGCAGCTCTTCAAGAATATCAGAAAATTCATAATGGAGAGAAAAATACTGTTATAAATAATGTGACATTGCATTTATCTGGTATTCTTTGTTTACCAATCACATTATACATAATATAAATCTAAAGATAAGGAAATTGTGAAAGCCTTAAAAGATGGTTTAAATATTTGAAGAGTATCATAGAGTCTGTATTAAAATAAATTTCCTGGAGCACTGAGCAGATCCCGGGTGGCAGCTCTGCACCCTATCTCACAAAACCCAGAGGAAGCAGCACTCCCAGGAGCTCTAACCCAAGCAGTATCTTAGGTAAGGAGACAGCAACACTTGCTCCAAACAGGGAGTAACTGGAACCCACTGGGACCCAGGGATTCACTCCTGACCTGGAGCACTGGTTCCTTCTGGTCTGGGCCCAAGCACCGAGCAGATCTTGGGCCTGAGCTCTAACCCCAGCAGCAACACCCACCCCAAACAGTTCTGACACAACCAAGATAATAGGAAAGACAGGCTCCTGTCAGAGACAGTGCAGGTAGCACTAAGGAGACCCACATGGTGAAAGGCAAGTACAAGAACATAAACATCAGCAACCCAGGATATTTGGCATCATCAGAACCTAGTTCTCCCACATTAGAAAGTCCTGAATTCCCCATATCACCAGGAAAGCAAGAGTCAGATTTAAAATCACTTCTAATGATGATTATAGAGGACTTTAAGAAGAACATAAAGAACACTCTGAAAAAAATTGAGGAGAACACAGGTAAACAGATAGAAGCCCTTAAAGAGGAAACACAAAAATCCCTTAAAGAATTACAAGAGAACACAACCAAAGAGTTGAAGGAATTGAACAAAACAATTCAGGCCATAAAAATGAAAGTATAAGCAATCAAGAAATCACAGAAGGAGACGGCCCTGAAGATAGAAAACCTAGGAAAGAAATCAGGAGTTGTAGATGCAAGCATCACCAACAGAATACAAGAGATAGAAGAGAGAATCTCAGGTGCAGAAGATACCATAGAAAATATTGACACAACTGTCAAAGAAAACGCAAAATGCAAAACGTTCTTAACACAAAACATCCAAGAAATCCAGGACACAATGAGAAGACCAAACCTAAGGATAATAGGTATAGAAGAGAGTGAAGATTCCCAACTTAAAAGGGCCAAAAAATATCTTCAACAAAATTATACAAGAAAACTTTCCTAGTCAAAAGAATGAGATGCCCATAAACATACAAGAAGCCTACAGAATGCCAAATAGACTAGACTAGAAAAGAAATACCCCTCATCACATAGCAATCAAAACACCAAATGCACAAAACAAAGAAAGAATATTAAATGCAGTAAGGGAAAAAGGCCAAGTAACATATAAAGGCAGACCTATCAGAATTACACCAGAGTTCTCACCAGATACTATAAAAATGAGAAGATCGTGGACAGATGTCATATAGACCCTAAGAGAACACAAATGCCAGCCCACGCTACTATACCCAGCAAAACTCTCAATTATCATAGATGGAGAAACCAAGATATTCCATGACAAAACCAAATTTACACAATATCTTTCCACAAACCCAGCACTACAATGGATAATAGCAGGAAAGCTCCAATACAAGGAGGGAAATTATACCCTAAAAAGCGCAAGAAAGTTATCCTCTTCCAACAAATCCAAAAGAAGATAGACACACAAACAATGCCAATGATAATAACAAAAAATAACAGGAAGCAACAATTTCCTCTCCTTAATATCTCTTAATATCAGTGGACTCAATTTCCCAATAGAGAGACATAGGCTAACAGACTGGATATGTAAACAGGATCCAGCATTTTGCTGCATACATTAAACCCACCTCAGTGACAAAGACACACACTACCTTAGAGTAAAAGGCTGGAAACAATTTTTCAAGCAAATGGTCCTAAGAAACAAGCTAGAGTTGCCATTCTAAAACCTCCAGCCTGAGAACACAAAGGGAGGGACTCATGGCTCCACCTGTTTAGGTAGTTGAGGGTGGCCTTGTCAGGCATTAGTGGAAGTGAAGGGCCTTGGTGCCTGAAAGTTTAGATTCCCTAGTGTTGGGGAATTCGAGAGGAGGGAGGTGGGAATGGGAGGATGGTGGGAGCACACCAGCATAGAAATAGGAGGAGGGGGTATGGGATAAGGGGTTTTGGGGGGAAGTGGGAGAGGAGATAACATTGAAAGGTAAATAAATAAAATATCCAATTTAAAAAAAAACAGATAATGGGTCTGGCAATTGTAGTTGAGCAGTCGAGAATTTTTGTCAACAATTTATTATGGGGTTTTCATATAATCCTCAAAAACAAGGTATTGTGGAAGAGGCCCATGGAACTTTAAAAAGTTTGGTGAGACATACTGTTGCTAAGACAAAGAATGATGCCAACCTGTGAGCTTGCTGAGTGCCCTGACAAGGGTGACTGGGGAGCTGTATTGGAGATATGTTCCTGACCCACCTTTGCTTGACTATATCCCAGATGGGAAAAGCTGCTTTGCCTCAAGCTTTTAGACCTTGTGGGATAGAGAATCGAAAGGAGAAATTATGTCTCTTGTATTCTTCTTAAAGGTGCCCAGTTATTAGGACTCAATCATGTACTGGTCTAGAAATCAATCCAATATGGGAAATAACAGTCTACTTTTGGATGACTGGATCTGGACTTTGTCAGAGACATATTTGGAAGCTAGCTGTAGCTTGCTATGATGTTAGGATAGCAAGAGATAATGTTGGTACAGGATCTGGATTTCAAACAAGGGTTAGTGCATGTTTTAAGGCTCTTTTAATTGTCAAGCTAAAATTGTTTTTGTCTCTTCTACAGCATTTATTGTAAGTTACATTGACTGTATAATTTCCAATTATGTTACTGTGTTGAAACTTGGCATATCTGTTATGGGGGGGGTGGTTATCAAACAGCTTTTGTCTCACTGCGCTGAGTATTAGAAAACCTTGATTCTCTGAAAAAAGCTTAAATGTACTGGAAGAAGTGAGTTAGGCTTTAAGCAGAAGCAAGAGGGTAGCAGGCTTGATTATTGCTGGTATAACAGCTTTAATTCCATTAATTGCTAGCACCACTGCTTCTGCAATAGCATTGACACAAGGAGTTAAGACAACTATTTTTGTTAACCATCTAGCAAAAAAAATGTTACTAATGTATTGAGTATACAAAAGGTTTTATATAGGTATCTGGAAAAACGAATGATGCTCTATAATCCATTCAAATTATCTGAAGGAGGTTCAGGGTTCAAGAGTTAGGAACCATCCCAAGTGTCATGACAAATATCACTGGAGTAGTGTTACTTTTGAAATTTACAATGACTGTCATTATAATTAGACAAAAGTTCAAAGACACCTGTAGGATATTTGGCATAATGCTAACACCTCTCTGGATATGTTAACTTTGCATAGTGAAATTATGAATGTAAAGAATGCTGCTCTGTTGACCTTTGATGCTGCAGATAATGCTGATAAAATTATCCATGGCCTGAGCTCAGTATTTCCACTTTGGACAAACCTCAGGAATAGCATATATAGCTTGATCAGAGTAGCCCTTCTTGTCCTGGGAAGACATTTATTCCTGCCAATAGTGATAAAGCTTATCTTTAATAACATCAACATGTTGGCAGCCAAAGTACATGTCTTAAATCTGAAAATGGAACCCCAGACAGAGTTATTAAATTAACAGGCTGGCAAGCCAAGGACGTGTAAGATTCTGCACAGAGCCTTACCAACCTAAGACAGAAGTGCATTGCCTTTGATAATGCATATTCCATGACTGGTAAGGAAGGCATTCTTGTCAGAACGACCTGAGACAGACTCGGTCTTGTTAACGAAATAAAAAAGGGGAGAGGTGGAGAGCCTTTGGGGCTGCTTGGCAAGAAGCTGACATGGGCCAAGGACAAGGAAAGGGGCTGCTTGGTAGGAATATGACACTGGCCAAGGACAAGGAAGTAGGCTTCTGTAACCGCCCGTTCTGCTGCTCCGGTCTGAAGGTCAGGGCCTAGCAAGAGAGAGAGTGGGGACGGAGACTCGAAGAATGGAGACAAGACAGGGAGTCTGATCAAGTCTCTCAAGTCTCTTTATTGGAAGGAAATCCTGGGTATTTATACCCTTTACCACGTGCCTTGCCCTCCTGGACAAGCACAGCTGAAGGCACTATGTCATGTGCCTTGCAGCGTGGATATCACGTGCACCTAGCTAGCAGTGAGGAGACCACGTGTACCTAGCAGCATGGATATCACATGCACCTTCCAGCTGGTGGCACTAAACAGCAAAACAAGATATGTGAGAAAAACAAGATATTTATCAGAGTGTGCTCAGCTGTTGTAGGCTGTTGAAAACAAGTCCCTTGTCAGGGTATATGGCCTGAGATGGCTGCAAATATGATAGCCACTTTCAGCTAGGAGTCGGCGCCCAACAGGCTTCAAGCAGGAATCTGACATTAGACTAGAACAAAGAAGTAATTTCAGGTACAAGTCTAAATCATAGGCTACAACAAAGAAGTAATCTCAGGCAGGAATCTAAATAGTAGGCCAGAACAAAGAAGTAATTTCAGACAGGAATCTAAATTTTAAGCTAGAACAAGGAAAAAGGCTTCAGACATGAAAATGACCTTGGCCTAGGACAGGGATATAGGCTCAAATACTTTAGTCATCCTGAGAAGCCTTTAGAAACAGTGATCACAGGAGTGTTCACGTAACTGGATTTAATGCCTTGCTTTTTCTTTGACTATTTGTGTTTATTGTATTGCTTGTTCTTTGACTATTTGCATCTATTGTATTACTAGACCCTCACCCTAGAACTGACCTTAATACATGCATGTAATCAAAATGGTATAAAAGCATAAAGGAGGAGGGGGGTTGGAATAGGGGGTTCTAGGGAGGGGAAATGGGAAAAGGGGATGACATCTGTATTGTAAATAAATAAAATATCCAATAAAAAACTAACTTACACCTAAAAAATAAAATAAAAAAATTTCCTCAAATGTAACTGTGTAAAAAGCTTTATTTATTTATTTATTGTTTTAGTGTATATGGATAATTTGACTGTATATATGCATGTACACTACATGTATGCCTACAGCCCGTGGAAGCCAAAAGAGGGTATCAGATTCCCTAAAGCTGTAGTTTTTAGGGAGTTGTGAGCTGCTGTGTATGTGTTGGGAATTGAACCACTGTTCCCTGAAAGAGCAACCAGTGCTCTTAACCACTAAGCCATTCCTCTACTCCCTGGCTAAAGCTATAATAAAAACATCCTGTTCAATATCCTAAAATTCATAATG